GCCTCCCAAAATGCTGGGATTACAGGCTTGAGCTACCGCGCCCGGCCCAATTTTTGTATTTTTAGTAGAAACGGTGTTTTGCCACGTTGGCCAGGCTGGTCTTAAACTCCTGACCTTTACTATGACTTATGTGACTTATGTAGGCACAATCATAAATGTTTGCAACCAGTGAGCTTTCAAACTAGTGGTACTCAACCAGGAGTTCATTGGATAGTAGGGAGCCGCTGTTTGGGTTTTGGTTTAGTTAATGCATTTGCAAATGAACCAAGATATACTGGCATAGCCCCAACTTTACCAAAACACACAGATTAAATGTCAGTTTATGACAAGTATCTGTATACTCAGTCATGCTAGATGATGGAACTGTAGAAAGTGATGAGGGGGAAAGTCTGACACAACTCCTCGGAAGTCTCCCTCCTTTCCACCTTCTACATTAGCTAAAATGAGTGAGCATTAGCTCCTGACGAATACGGTCAGCCTCCAAGTCCAGGGACTCCATGTGCTCATACTCTTCCTCAGGGGGCTGTTCCATGGGTCCTGTCATTGGAGAGGACCAAACATCCATCCCATGCTCCAGGGAGATATTGTGGAGGACACAACAAGCCAAGATGATGTGGCTGGACTTCTCTGGTGAGTACTGCAGTGCCCCCTTGGATCCATCCAGGCAGCGGAATCGGGAGCAGAGGGTTCGGAAAGTCTTCTCAATCACACTGTGAGTTGCAGAATGGGCCATATTATAGCGATATTCTGCTGGAGTTTCAGGAATGTGAAGTGGGGTCATGAGCCAGGTATGGAGAAAGAAGGCACTGTCACCTGTGGGGAAGGACCAAAGAAATCATAAGTGATTATAAATGAACTACAAACAGAAAGTGAAATTCAGAAAACATATACTGAGGATGGAAAAGAAAATATAACAGCCTCTGGCGCCAAAGCATACCAGAAAACCAAGCGGAAAATGCTATGGTACAAAGAAAGCAGGCCAATGCCAGGAGCAGAAAGACACAAGTCCTGGCTGAGAATATCCTTGGTAAAAATCGGCAGAGAAAAATGCTGGTACCTTAAGGAAACCAAATATGAAAGAATGTAGAAAGGAGGTGAAGGCACTGAAGGAAATAAAATTCCTGCATTTGGCCAGCTGCAGTGGCTCACGCCTGTAATTCCAGCACTTTGGGAGTACTTTTGGGCCGAGACTGGTGGATCACCACCTGAGGTCAGGAGTTCGAGACCAGCCTGACCAATATGGTGAAACCCCATCTCTACTAAAAATACAAAAATTAGCTGGGCATGGTGGCGGGCGCCTGTAACCCCAGCTACTCAGGAGGCTGAGGCAGAATTGCTTGAACCTAGGAGGTGGAGGTTGCAGTGAGCCAAGATCATGCCATTGCACTCCAGCCCGGGCAAGGAAAGCAAAACTCCTTCTCAAATAAAATAAAATAAAATTCCTGCATTTTCCTAATTCAGAGATACTGTTACTTAATAAAAGGCTTAGATCGGGAGCAGTGGCTCACACCTATAATCCCAGCAATTTGGAAGGCCTAGGTGGGTGGATCACCTGAGGTCGGGAGTTTGAGACCAGCCTGACATGGAGAAACCACGTCTCTACTAAAAATATCAAATTAGCCAGGTGTGGTGCCAAATGTCTGAAATCCCAGTTACCCGGGAGGCTGAGGCAGGAGAATTGATTGAACCTGGGAGGCAGAGGTTGGAGTCACCCAGGATCCCATCATTGCACTCCAACCTGGGCAACAAGAGCAAAATTCCCTCTCAA